TAGAGATGCTAAGAAATGAAACCCATATCATTAATCTAGCTAGCTTAATATTCAACCATGATAATTGCCCGTAGGAACGCAGCTAAAATGTTTGTGCTTTTGAGTTTACAGTGTAATTAAAACCTGTATTTTGTTAGATGTAGCTTGTTTCTAGATAAAGGACTATCTACTGTTAATTCTCTATATGTCAGGAGCATTGGAACAAACATAAAGACTTGCTGCATTCCCTTCTTGTTTTCTTTTCCCTTTGTGAATAGCATATTCAGCAAGATAGGTTTACAATTTTAAAAACAAGGAAGGTGAGACCATCACTAAATCTAAAACTGGTATGAAAGTCTGTTTCTGAGTAAGTTCACAAGTTACCAGCTCACAGTATCAAGTAGATGATGTTCTAATGTGACACATGCATTTTTGTATGTAGGAATATATACAAAAAAAAAAAAAAAAAAAAAAAAAAAAAAAAAAAAAAAAAAAAAAAAAAAAAAATATATATATATATATATATATATATATATATATATATATATATATATATATATATATATATATATATATATTCAAAAGCATCTATTGCCAGACTGTAATGATGACTGTGATTCCAGCATACCGCCAAAAAAGCACTTGAGAAATGTCTACATATAGTGATTATAACATAGACGATGTGATTGTATATTGTATATTGTCATAACAGATCATATATACAACATGGTCTTGAACTGAAAAGCTTAGGTTTAAGTAATGACAGATCTGTAAGAAATAGATATTACAGGAAGATCTTGCATATAAACAAAAGTATGTTTTATTCAGATCATAACAATTTCAATCAAAAGGATTATTTTAAGGAAGGTAAAGAAAGCCTAATTGCTAAAACCATGCAAACACACCTAGTGTTAGAAAACTTAATTTGCATCGTAAAGAAGATAAGAACAATTAATGCACTTGCTCTATTGCAAAATTATTAGTGAAAAATGCTGTCATAGGTCAGAGTGTATTTGTATTTTGAAAGTGCATTATATAACTTCATAATTTACAGATTAATTTTAGTTGATTAAGAAGAAACAAAGGAAGCTGAGGTTTCCATGATCAAGACATATATGTTACTATAATTTGCAATTATAAGCTTGAAGAAAATCACAACATTCTTCTAATTACATTAAAGTATATCATGAAGATTTTAATATCGTCACACATCTCAGTCTATTTTTCTAATCCTAGATCCTTATTTTTTTTTATTTTTTTTTTTATTTTTTTTTTTTTTCAATACAAAGTAAAGCTTTGTATAAGGATTTGCTTTTGTGTCAGTTTCTATAACACTATTTGGAATGACATTTACTGCAGCATATTATTATTATTATTATTATTATTATTATTATTATTATAATAATAATAAAAAATATATGCATTATATATATATATATATATATATATATATATATATATATATATATATATATATATATATATATATATATACATATATATATATATACATATATATATATATATATATATATATATATATATATATATATATATATATATATATATATATATATGTATATATATATATATATATATATATGTATATATATATATATATATATATATATATATATATATATATGTATATATATATATATGTATATATATATATATATAAATATATAATACACACACATATATATATACGTATATATATAATTGTACGCTGAGTGGGAGGCAGTTAAACTCTGGCATATGCTTTTTAGAACATCATAAAAAGGAAGATCCAGATCAAATTGGAGATCCTGGGATAGACTCCATTACTTTTTCCTTTTTGCTCTGAACACTCTAGATGGGGGGTTGGTCTTGAGTAAAAGAGCACCATTTGTATGCTTGTGAAAATGATGAAAAAAATGGATGACCCCATATGTAGACCTTGCTAGTATGTTCTGCTGCTATGTCCACATCACACAACCTGTTTCTCATGTATTCGATCCACAGATTATTATCCCCCTTTTAAGACCTTTATGTTTGCTGTCAATCTTTCTGGTCAAGTCTTCACATTAGTAGATTACATACTGTAAAACTGTTTCCTCTTTGGCAGCCCTATCTCATCAAAACAGATGCTGGAAGATGATTCTTACCCACATGCATAATGGCCACACCTGCCTTACTCCAATCTCATTTCATTTTCTGGTCCACCCCTAAGTTCCTTATGTAATGTTTGTCTTTCCATTCCACCCATTATGTTGTCCTGTCCACACTTTACTGCAACCTTTCCAATGCCATCCTACTCCTGTACAACTGTTAATTTTATTTATTTAAGAATATTTTCTGCTGCATCAACATCTTATGTCATTAGTGGCATATTCAAAATATAGTGATAGCATGAGATTTGAGGGCAAAGCCCCCAGGTAAGGAAGTGCTCTATGAAATCAAAGATTACATGGTGCTGTGATAAAGTAGAGTAGTGAAAGGGATCAGGAATGAGTTAATTATTAGGGTAAGTTACAGGTTGAACAGTACTAGAGGGTAGTATGGTAGTGAAAAGGGTAGAAGGGGGAACTGATGGGGCATAGCATACGGTAGAGCTTGTTAAAAGGGGAAGAAGTTAAAGGAGTAGAGAGCATTGTGATGGCAAAAAGGGCAAAAATGAATTTAACGATTCGGATAAGTGGACAGAACAACGGAATAAAAAAAAAAGGAAAAGTAATGACCATACAAAATTAAGATGATACCCTACATTGGGCCTCAGTCCCCGTTTCCTAAGCCCCACGACGTGAAAGGATCTGGGAGGTACAACCGTTGACTTGCAATACCTAATAACCCTCTTTACCCTTTCCATTAGCATGCCTACTTTATAGTGCTACATGGCCTTTGATGTCTAGCACATTTATTTTGCTTTTTGACCATTAACCATTACATGATGCCTAATACATGTAGGTTAGTAATGGCTCAGTGACCATTTTATTAGATTTTGGCACACTAAAACTGTATACAGATCAAAGGGATAAGTGTGCCCCATCATAAAAGAACAATCTATTAGGATTTTTTTCTGTTAATTAGGTGTGTTACATGTATGTATTTCTTTTTATAATGTTCTAATGATAAACACAAAGTTTTGTGAGAATACTTTATTATGTATAAAATATATATAAATTTGATTCCTACACAGAACCTATTTGTACATGTGCCAAGGTAAACTTTAAGGTAGACACTTAAAAAGACATTCAACAGATACCTTTGCTGAATATTGAAGGCCAATAAAATATTGATATATAAAAACACCCCAAAATACAAAGGATCCATAAAATCCAGTAAATATAAAAGGTAAAATCATCTCACTATGGTATCATGTGTTTTTTCGTACTTAATTAAATCATTTATAAAAATTACATTAAAACAGTTCATCAAGTATTGAATTCTGTGAATCTGCTTGAAATGATGTGCTAGAATTTGATTTCCTCTCATCCTGTGTCTGTTTTTTGACTGCATCCTTTTCAGAAGTGTTTTTGGTCTGGGATGCACTAGTTCTTGGGCGACTGACATTTTCATCTTTAGTCTTTCTCTTTTTGTCACTCCCTGAGGTGGGATACAATTCTGCCTCAATGCTATTGTTGAAAAGATCATCCTGTGAATCAATGACTCGTTTTGATGCCATTGACTTCTTCTCAGGCAACGTATTGCCATTTCTTCCACGCTTCTTTGGGGATATACTCCTAAGGTCCTCTTCATCTGTGTCCATGCCATCTGGCTCATCTACATCAGTGTCTGAGTTGTAGCATTCACTATCACTGCTGTTGACTTTACTTGCTTTAGAAGGAGAATCCTTTGCTTTCTCTTTAGTGTCCAGTGTTGTGTCATTTGCCTTTGCTGAAAAAAAAAAAAAAAAATATATATATATATATATATATATATATAGTTTAGAGGTGAAGCAAAAAATTCTTGAAACAGGAAAAAAAGGAAGGAAATTTTTTTTGTCTGTATGGACAGTACTATGATATGGTTGTATACTTTAATTACACAATAAATACTTGGAGAAAATGTCCAATACGGATACTGTTCAGCAGAAAACTGAAAAAAATAAATAAAAAATAAAAGAAGAAATTAAAGGGAAAATATGGGAAAAAAGGTTAAAGATAAAGAAAAAGGAAACATAACAAAATATGGGAAAAGGAGAAAAGGAAAAGAAAAAGAAAAAGAGAAGAAAAAAGGAGAAGACTGTTAAAATAGCCTAGCAATAGTATCCTGTACAAAGGAAGGGTGTGCAATAATTTTCTGTTGCTATAAAGTTCTAGTGGAACATGCAGACCACCTCCTTTGAAATTAGTTCACACTCCTTTATTACTGTTCCCATACCTGCTGACGATGACTGACTAGTAAGCTGACGCATCCTTAGTTTCTTCATATTGATAATGTTGGCACACTTTCCATATACTACCTTTTCAAAGTCTTCCTTCATCTTCACACTTTTGGCTACCAAGTCTATAGCTTCTTTAACCTCTGAAAATTGAATCACAAAACGTTACTGAAAAAATTCTTAGAAATAATTATTATGCTTTCTTGTAAGTCATATATATTTCTCCAGTAAATTAATAAAATATTACATACATTTTTTTTCAAGAATTTATTATTTAGTTGAATATCAGTCTGAAAAACACAATCTTATCCTTTTCTTTAACTATATCTGATAATACTACCATGTATTCTAGCTGACAAGGTAACTGAAGTCAGAATGCTATTCTATCTTTTGAAATTTGAATGCTAATGAAATATATATCATTGATCACTATACCTCCTTCTTTTGCTTGCAAGTCTAATGTCAGTTTGTCAATGGTTTTAACATTAGCAGTCAAGTCTTCCATGACACCATTCATGATATTTTCTAAGGCATCATCATGTTCCATCTGCAATTGATAAATAAATAATGTCTGTTAATTTTACAATAGCCTTACTTTCCATAAAATAATGTCTGTTAATTTTACAATAGTCTTACCTTCCATAGATTCAGATATATTTTATGCCTGATGCTTCACTTAATGTGGGTATTAAAGTTAAACTCTATAATTAGAACATTTTACAGAATGTCATTCTCCACTTAAACCTCCAGTGGATGTACTGTCTACTATGGTTTAGTATTAATAATCTTATTTACACATAGATGGCTCTAGAAGCATTGATCCAATTAGTGTGGGTAACAATGCCCACTGTAATAAAAGTGTATCTATTATCTTTATGCATAGATGGCTCTACAAGTGCTCAGTCACCAAGGAGTCAGCTATTAGTCTTACCTATCTCATCTGTTTACCCTTTTCCTTGATTTTTGAAAGCTTGATTTTATTATTTTATTGTCTTTGATATTATAAATATTTTTAATAATAATTTAATAATCATAATATCAATAAGAATGATAACGATGTCAATATTAATAGCATTAGAAAGAAAATCACATTTTCAATATCAATAACAACATTAATAATAATTATAATAACAATAATAACAATAATAATTATAATAATAATAATAATTATAATAATAATAACAATAATAATAATAATTATAATTGTTACTATTATCATCATTATCATTATTATGATTATGATAATAATGTCATTAAGAAGTAAAAAAACCTCTTCCCAAAATCTGAATTGGTAAACAAGTGAGATCATATAGGCCTAGGAACTGACTCCTTGGTGACAAAATACCTGTGAAGCTATCTATGTGTAAAAAAATAAATAAATAAATAAATAAATAAATAAATAAAACCCATAGTGAACGGTGTATGTATCCAGACCACTTGTTAATAATTACTACAGTCCTCTGGTGAATTTTGTTAACGCATATCTATTATTACAGCTATCTTACTGTGCATAAAACCCTTACAATGCAACAAGAACATATTGATACAAATGGAACAATATCAGGCATTAAAACAAAAAAGGCATAAAAAATAATAATTATAACAAGTGATAACAACAATAATAACAATTATAATATAATATATATAATAATAATAATAATAATAATAATGATAATAATAATGATGATGATGATAATGGTGAGGATGACAATGATCATCTTTATAACTATTTTATTATGATTCTGTATCGTTATATACTCACTTTCTTATAGGTAGCATAACTATAATAATATAACCTTTAATATCACTATCACTGCTAATATCATTATCACTCTCATCATATCATTACAATCATTACAGAAACAAATCATCATTGCTGAAACTAGTCATAAACAATAAAAGTAAAATGCATCCAGCATTTTCCCACCTTATCCAAGGCAAACTTTCCTCGCCTTCCGTAAACTTTCTTCTCAGGAAAGTACTGCTTCCACACCAAGTGGTCATCCTGAATCTCAAAGATATCTTCCTTGATGTCCTTTCCATCGGGATCACAAACGGACGACAAGTTCTCGACTGCTTGGGAAACAAGGGTTAAGTATTCTTGGGGAGTTTTCTCCAGGTTGCGGCACCATCGTTGGACGGAATCACTCTCTGCGGTGATCTGAAATTAGGCGAAATCTGTAGATGAATTATGAATATTTCTTCATAAACAAGGAATCTTGCTCCAAACCTCTTGGTGCTTCAAAATTTGGCCAACAAACCCCAAACCATGTATCCTCTGCCAATTTAGTATCAAATACAGAACCAATCCAGAATGCATACTACCAGAGTATACATGGAGGGGGTTTGCTTTCCTGTGTTGGAGGACATTAGAGGTGTGGAAGACATGGCATAATCCTAAATAATGTGCCACTGTCATGACAGCAAATATCAGTTGACAAACTCTTGCTTCTCATAGAATCTAGTAAGACTCTTGTGAGAAGGCTTAAATCTTAAATTGTAACAAACCATATCTTACCTATCTTTATTATACTTATGATTAAATCAACTGTGTATCATAGACCCCCTACCCACAAAAGATAAAATGCCACCTGTCCCTAAAACCTATTGGATGGGAAAAGAGATGGCAACATGAAAGCTAAAGGAAATGGGAATGAAAACTAGATTCATTCTGATTACACAGAAATTCAACATAATATCTGAATCTTCCTATGACTATCACAATAAAAGAAAGATAAGAAAAAATATAGCTTAACCACCTCACACCAAAAAATAACAGCCACAGTTACATAAAAAGAATCGCTAAAACCCACAGCTACTATCCACCACCATACCCTACGAAACGAAAGCACGTCAATAAAAGGCATTTGTTCCTGTTCCCCTTTTCTTCCTTTCCTCATTTATTCCTGTTACCTTGAGCGAGTGCGCCGCACCCCTCTGCAGCAGCGCCAGGCGAACCTCCTCCTGGGAACAACTCGAATACATATACGACGTCTTCCCATTCTGTACGATTTTCCTCAGACCCATGGCGACCGCGAAAACTTCAATGAACAGTGGAGTGAGTCTGCTCTGTTACATCAAATGCTGACCTTACAAACACAGTAAAAGAGGAAAAAAGGAGCTTAACGCTGCACTGCCCCGACGTGTCCGGACGTGTCACCCGGCAACCGGTGATAACGAAGGGCCGACTTTTCCTGACAGTTTGGAATAAAACTAAATAGTCTTAGATATTAAAGAAATTTGTCGTTTTCAGTATTGTTATGCATATTGTTTTTTCTTTTTCTCTCTTAATTTCTAAATCATCGAGAAGCAAGGGACTTTCAGTCGTCTTTTTTCACTATATTATAGCTATCGTGGTTAAATTCTGACACCAATGATATATATAAAAACAAATCAAAATATTCATAATATCTTCTACGAAACAATTCAAATAACACAATACGAAAAAATAATTTTATTCTCACGCGTCCACGCCAGCGAAGCCAGGGCGAAGAGAATCGGAGGCGCCGGAGTCAACGGGAGGTAAACAAACGTGGTGGAAGTTTCGTCGCTTTGGAGCTTCTGTGAAAATACGTCTCGTGAGTCATAACTCTTGGATGACAGTGTTGTGCGAAGTACCGTAGGAGATCTAGAAGCTATCCTTGATTCCGTGTGTATTATATTCTTATTTTAATTAGGGTTTATTGAAATGAAGGTTGAATTGCAACATTTTTCGACTTCTAATGCGATTAATGTTACTGACAGCCCTGGCCTCGAGTGCTGCGTATTTTCCAGCTGAATTGTAAGCAGGAAAATATTCCAGGTGTCTTACAATGAAAGATAAACCAAATTAAGACACAGGTTTCCCACAGTCATTTAATGCAGAGTAAAATTTGCCTGTAATAGACAGATTAAAGAAATAATGACACTTTTCAACTTTGCTGTGGCCTTAGCAAGTTGATGATATGAATGTTGTGCACCATGTATTACTTTGGTATACATTTACAGGAAAACGTAAATGCGCTATGGTTATCAAAGAGAAGCACTACTCTCACCAGTACATGAAATAATCTGCATAGGTAAAGAATAACATGAGAAATGAAGAAAATATGTCATGACAAATGCCTGTGGAGAGTCAGGAATGGTTGAAGTAATAGGGACATAATTTCAGAAGGGTATGGTCACTTCTTAAACATTACCAATGCTTTCATTTATATCATTTCCTATGGAAAATAAGGAGATTCACTCATATCACAGCATTGGTAATTGAAAGAAAGAGTAATAATTCCAAAATTTTATGGCTGTGTGAAACAAAGAAATTACCAAATTCTTCCCAAGTATAATATATGTAAAAGAATAGAGAAGATCCCCCATTTTTTCCCTAAGTTGCTAATTTTGTTTACATTGTGAGGATAAATACTAGACTGATTGCATGGTCATTAGACAAAATGTCCAAACCCAACACCCAAACTAGGGTCTTTTTGTTGTGTTATGCCTGTAGAGTTTTATAAGTCAATTTTGAAAAATTTTATGGTATTTTATGTATTTTTGTCCTATATTCACTGTGATTGCACTTCTATTTCAAGGGGGCTGTGCGCCCCTATAGACCCCCAGCCCCTGGCTGAGACTACAAAGAATACTCTATGTATGGCAGCATAGTATCCTGTGATATGGTCAGCATGATATACTGACTGGAACTGGGGCATATCATATCATTGTCAATCACATATCAGATTAGTAAATTCCTAGGTTGTCTTGCCATGCTCAGTCGTATGCTTTATCTTGCCGTGAATACATGGAGGATTCTTTGTCTTCCAGGGCAGCAGCCCCCCAGGGTGGGTCATAGGGGGCACAGCCCACTGCATTAGACAATACAGTAACTTATTCTGTGATATTATTATTATAGTTATGTATTTTGTGTATATTATTCATATTTTACCCTGCAATTTCCCCGGTAACTTTCATGCCCTCTCTGCTATCAGGGCCAAGATCCCCCCCAAAACCAAGAATGAACAGAGTCTGATAATATCAGTAATCCAGCCAAGCTCAGACTGACAGGACTGGCAGGAAATAAATGGTCAACATTGAGAAATGACAAATACGCACACACAAATGTATGCACGTGTGTGCACACACACACACACACACACACACACACACACACACACACACACACACACACACACACACACACACACACACACACACACACACACACACACACACACACACACACGTACATGCTGGTACATGAACTATATTTGATGTGTTCATGTCACATCAGACTACTTGTTTGGTGATTTCATTTATATATTAGGATTTTAAACATTTATATTAAAGTATTACCAGTGGCTCCAGGTATGATTAACCTTTTCCCTGCTACTCTGTTATTTTGTTTTGCTACTGCAGCAACAATCAGCAGTTGCCTAAGAGAGTCTACCTTCACGGAATATTGTGCACCTGTACTAATGAGATGCAACATACTAAGAATTTGGGATTTTGTATAACATTGATCAGGATAAGTTAAGTTTTGTTTAATGAAAACTTTTATTTTTTTATATTCATTAGCATCTATAGAATGATGATATTAGCAATATTTTTTTAAAAATATGTAAATAAATAACAAGTAAATGAAAGGAGAAATAACAGTGGCAACAGCAAAGCCTTTACTATGTATGACCAGTTTCCTCATTTTAGCAAACCTTTGGTGAAGCCATGTATATGCAGTAGTTATACACATTTTGTATTTTTTTTATATATTCTTTGATATTTACAACCAAGTTTCATATACTTGCAGTTAATTGTATATTTTTCTCTTGTCAGAGACACACCAAGATGGCAACAATCGTCCGTATAAAGAGACGACACAATGAGGAACCTACAGAGAATATCATCATTAAAGCCAAGCGCAGTCGAGTAGAGGAAGATGATGGGGCAGCTGCTTTGTGTGAATCTTCTCCAGAATCCAGTCACACCATCATGACCAGAGTTGGAACTGTGAATTCCAAGGTATAAAAGTTATATTTCCCATTGCATACACCAAAACATGGCTAAAGAATGACTAAGGATTTACCTTCTTCTACCACATGCTTAAAATCGAAGCTATATTTCTTTTTCATAGTGAAAAAGTGTCACATAAAGCCAAGTATATCTGTGTTAGTACTCACAGACTGTCTATGTGTGTATATACATATTTACCTCTATTTTTTCACTTTAGCCCACTAATGCCAGATGGTATCTATTTACATCAAGGTGTTCTGGACCCAAGTGCCCCGTTTCCTTTTAGACTCATGCCTAAAAAAAAACTTATTTTTTCACTTTAGCCCACTAATGCCAGATGGTATCTATTTACATCAAGGTGTGCTGGGCCCAAGTGCCCCGTTTACTTTTAAACTCATGCCTAAAAAAAAATTGTGCAGCAGCCAAATGTGTAGAGAGAAGAATGAATATAAATTTCTCATACCTCTGATTTTTTGTGTGAACAGTTGACTGCACACAAAGCCTGGTTCATGGCTCAATGTGGCACGACAACTTTTAGAGAGTAAAAAGGATGACGAGAATAGAGGGTGTGTGAGTGAGTGAGTGAGTGGGTGGGCATGGGTGTGCATGTGTGTGTGTGTGTACATGCATGAGCATGTGTGTGTTTTTAAAAGAAAAATATTAATGAAATAGTGATGATCTGATCTATATTAACTGATGGTGTCTCCATTTCAGGAAGATGATGTGCAACAACATGTTTTGAAAGTGATGAAGGAGCATAAAACAGGCTGGCAATTGAGAGAACAATACAAAAAGTTGGGAAATGCTCATAGGATTAAGGCTTCTGTCAAGGAGGCCGTTAAGAACAGAGTCAATAGCAAACGGTATAAGGCAAGTGTATACACAACTTTCTCTCTCTCTCTCTCCTCTTCTCTTCTCTTCTCTTCTCTTCTCTTTGCTTCTCTTCTCTTCTCTACTCTACTCTTCTTCTTCTCTGGTTTCAGAAAAGAGAATTTTGAAGGACAGTTGAAATTCTATATTTGTTAGCAATCAACTTACGGAATTAGACATCCTATTCTTGCAGATAGTTGCAGCTTGTCGAGGAATCGAGGATAAGGCAGACGAGAAGGGAGATTGCCAGAGTGTTAAAAAAAAGGATAATGATGAATCAGAAACAGCTGTGGACATCACAACAGAGGACTTTAAACTGTATGATGCCATGCTACCAGAGATTGATACGGTAAAGTACAAATGCTTTGTGTGATAAATATTTACACTTTTACAGATATAACTCACATATCTATTACCTAGTTAGGATTTACTATAGTTTCATATTTCTAGGACTAGAGTTTAGAGAAATGTTACTCTTTTTAGAACAAAGAAACAATTTTCATTATTAAAACTTAATATTTGTCATGATGAATCAATGCAACTAATGAAATTAATATGGTCTATTCCAAGCTGTTCTCTTAAGTCACAGCCTATGGATGACATGGGGTTCATGTCAAAGCTGACTTGGTTGTGGCTACGAGTGACATGTTATTCATGTCATGGTTGATGTCTTTTGTATAAAGAGAGAATTTTAGCACACAGATCATTTGCCTGCCCTGTGTGAAAGATGCCATTCACCAAAACATAACTGTCATTTTCTTTTGTATATATGTGAAGCTCAGAAATTTTATGGCCTGTAGTGATTCAGCAGAGGAAGAATTTCTGAAGTAGTTTTACAGTTTTTCATTTTCATGTTGGTAATATTTTCTTATGTTATATTTCAGAAAGAGGATGTTATAACTTGCAATGGAATTCCTATGGAAACAGAGAAGTATGTTTATGACATCTACTATACACCACAATCTGTTGACTGGATAGAAAACATATGCGAGTAAGTAATGTCTTGTATTTGTTTATTTCTTTCTTTATTATATTTTTATTTATTTATTTATTTATTTATCTATTTATTTATTTATATATATATTTATTTATATATATATATATCTTTTTTCTCTCTCTCTCTCTTTTTTCTTTTTTTCTTTTTTTCCCTTTTTTTTAGTAGTAGTTGCTTACAGTCTTTTTCATTCTCCTGCTTCTTATATAATGTTTCTTTCCCCAAATAGTAGGCATTAATTTCATATTTCATTGTTTGTCCTTTGATGTCCATTGTATGTCTGTAATTTTGCTTCAGTATCTCCTTATAGGTGTA